GCGTCAACCCCGCGCGTTTGGCACCAGCTCGTCGGGTCGCCCGACTCCCACTTCAACTCACCTCTTACTTCGCTCGTGAGCCGACCCTCACTGATCGCGCTACCCCGAGCTTCCAACAGCTGGTTAAGAGAGCTAACTAATCGCACAGTTGGAATTTATAGCGTGCATGCATGCGCGAAGAACACAGAATTACAAGGACTTGGAAAGGAAGATCAGGAGAGGGAACGCCTACGTTCTGCATGGCCAGATCATAGCGTGGGGGACGTAGCCGCTCTCCACGCATCAATCCGATCATGCAGACCGCGGCTACCAAGACGCAGCAAAAAAAAAAGAGAAGAAGGGCGGGAAAGACGAAGCACAAGAAGAAAGATACAGTTACAATGGCGCCCGCCCAAAATTACAGTTACACATACGATTAAAGGCGCCGACTAATCAGAGTTCCGTTGCAGCCGCATGAAGAAGCGCGTAAGCAAAAAGCGTCGCGCGGCAAAAAAGAATCCTAATTGTAAAAATTCCTAAATTCCTATCTAATACAGAAAAGGCGAAAAGCACAAGTTCCAAAAGAAAAGTCCGAAATTCCGAGAGTCATTGGGGCTCGACAAGATTCGAAAAAGAATTCAAAAAGAAAATTCAAAAAGAACGAAGCAAAATTCCCGCGCGATGCTCGCACCCAAAAATCCAAAATCGAAATAAAAGAAGTGACGTCAACAGTTATTAATCGCGCGCACAGTGGCGCGCCCCAGACACAGCCAATCAATCAATCGATCGTCCCGGGACCCACCCGGCCCTGAACCCAACCATCCGAAAAGAAGCGACACCAAAAGACGAAGAAGCGAGGACACTGATGCAATTTCCTTCCAATCTCAATCTCCCATAGTTGGCCCATCCTTCCCAGCTTAGGACCCCTCATTGCTATCACGCAAAAAATCGCGCGGTGCAGAAATCGGTTTGTCACATACGTGACGCCCAGGGGGTTCCAATATTAACAAGCTCCTACTTGCTTGTTGACACGTGTCGATCTCTCTAATCGATCGATACGTGGAGTTTTTCCTTTTGTGCCACTTACCATATGAATGAGTGTGGACGTCATCCAGTGTGGCAAACATAGCTCTAACTACTAATTCCTCAGGAAGGACCATTGACAATCCAAGGAGGGGATCGCACGTGTCATAGTAGATGCACACGCACCAATCAACCGATTACCAGTGTCCAGTGGGGAGAGGGAAGGGAAGACGGTACATGGGGCCATGGCGAGGGGGAGGGTTAATCGGGAGAGGGGGCAGGAAACTGTCCAACCTCGCCACCGTTTTCGGAAGTTCTTGATATCGAATGATCCGGTGGAAACGGGGGAAGCGATTACCACTATGGGGGAGGGAAGCGAGATAGTCTGGATACAAGGTGGTGAAGGTGCGGAAGAGTGCCGCGCGGAAATGGTCGTGGTTTTCGCATGAGGGGATAGTCCCCGTAATCATGCAGTAAACTTCGACCATATTGTGGCCTCACCACGCGGCGCTCAGGAGAAGGATATGGAGGTAGAAGTCGGGGAGGGCGCATCGGGTCGAGGGGTGGGGATGGATTGTGACAATAAGATAGGTGGCATAGAAGAAGCGGAAGGTGTCGAAGGGGAAGAAATTGCGGGCGAAGACAACGCGGGTAGTAGCCTGGCGGAGGGTAAGATGGTCAAGGGGACGGCGGGATAACGACCGGGGACGAAGCCCGATGGCCCGCATCAGTACGGACTCGAACTGGTGGACGGTCGTCGGTCGGGGGTGGAGGGGGAGGGGGATCGGCTTCGTCACCGCCTTGTCGGTGCGGTCGAAGTCTCGGCAGCTGGGTCCCCATCCTCGGGCTTGGGCGGCTCTGGATCTCGGGCCGGATCGTCGGCGACCTGCTGATTGGCTCCGCTGGCGGATTCCAGCTAACGTTTTCTGACCGCGATCTCTTCTCTCTTGCGTGCCGCCTCGGGATCTTCCGCCTGTACGCCCGTCTGCTCTCCTTCGTCTGTCGAGATCTCCCACCCCGACTCCTCCAGCTCTAGCTCCTCCTCTTCGTCGTCTTGTTCTTCTTCTTCCTCCTCCTCACTTTGTTCCCCTTCGCTGTATTCGCTGTAACTCCCCTCTTCGAGAGTTTCTTCCTCGTCGTCCTCCTCCTCTTCTTCTTCTTCCTCAACCGCTATCGCCTCGTCTTCGGTGGCTGTTCGATCCCGGAAGTAGGCGGGATCGATGATCTCCCGCGGGCTCAAATAATCCCGCTGTGATGGTGGATTGCGGTCGCTTCCTGGCTCCTCCAGGCACGCTGACCACTGAAGATACGGCGTCAAGGTCCGCGTGAGGACGTGTGGGACTGGGCTCTCGTCACTTTGCGAGACAATCTCCTGGGGGAGATCGTCGGCTAGCTGCGCGAGTGGGATCGTAAGCTCTAGGACGATTGGTTGGCGATGATTGGGCCGCACCGATCCGAACAGGAATCCAAGAAGATCGCCCGCCACGTCCGTTCTCCAGGCCTGGATAATCAGCCACTCTAAGTACTCGCTCCACTCGCGATGGTCTTCGTCCCTTGTCCACGTGATTCGCACCCCAACCAGGCACACCGAAAGCTCGACGAAGTGCTCGCGCCAAAGTCTCCACTACCTAGGATCGAGAAGGGGGACTGCGAGCGGCTCCAAGCAAAAAGAGAGACGAGGGTGGAGACTAGATTGCCAGAAGGTGGGAAAGAGAGATGGGAGGGCAAAAGTAGAGAGTTGGGAGTGGTTCATCGGGGAGGATGGAAGGGGATGAGTTCTGGCAGCACCACCGCTGGCTCGTGCTGGAATGCTCGGATCCCTCCAATGTCGACGCCGTCCGTGGGGAAAAGATTATCCCCTTGGCGCGTAAGAGAGCGGTTCCACTCCGTGGCCAGTTGTTGCGCCCACTTCCTCAGTGACGTCCGGATGGCTATATGTCGGAGCTCGTTGACCGTGTTGATGTCGCCGCTGAAGCCGACGGTCGTGGATACGTGGCTAATCCCCGGAGCTGATCGCCGATGGACAGCCACCGCTTCTGCCAGTACCACTGCCTGAGGACTGCCCGCGAATCGGAATTCAACCGCTGCATACACTCCCGAGGTGGAGAAGAACTGCGCCAGTCGTAGAAGATCCAGGTTGGGTCGTGGATGGCACACCTATTGAATCGCCGAGATGTAACCCCGTGGCGTTAAGAGATGGTCGTCGAGGGCTCGCTCCGTGAGAAAGCTCATGGTGATGGTGGCGGGACAGAGGTTGGGAAAAGGCAGAAGATGCAGGGGAGGAAGAAGGTGATGGAAAATCGTTGTCTTCTTCCGTGGCGAAGGAAGAGGATGAAGGTGCAGGCGACGGGGAGGAAGGGAGGGGACACAGGTAAGACACGTGGCGAATGATCGGTCTCGCCGATCGGCTTCCGGAGACCTCAGGCGCGAGCCGCACGGTGTTCACTCCGTTCGGTCCAAGCTCGATCACGCGGAATCGCCCGAAGAATCGTGTCGCTGGCTTACCCTGACGAGCACATTTCCTCACCTGCACGATGTCCCCTAATTTGTACTGGGGTCGTGGACCTGTGTTTCCGTTCCGGGCCTCGTAGCTCCGGACCTGTCGGCAGTGGGCCAACTCAGTCATTTTGTGGCGCTTTCGGGCTAGCCTGGGGAGGGACCGTTCCATTAGCTCTAAATGTCGCCTAGCCGTCAAGTTGTCCCGAACCATGGCCCTTGTGGGCCGTCGATTCAACGTTGATTCATCTGGGAGGCTCGGTATCGGAACGCAAGCGACGCTATTGGTCCTTAATTGGAAGGGGCTGAAGCCCATTGATTCGTGGGGCGTCCCTCGGTGGACCGTCGGGATGTGATCGACGATATCGGGCCAGGGCCTCGGATCCCGAGCCGCGATGTTTCGTCATAGCATTGTCTTTACCACCCTGTTGGCATTTTCTACCAGCCCGTTGGATTGCGACATGTGGGGCACGGTATTCCGCACAGCGACACCGTGTATGACCAGTTTCCTCAACACTTCCCCTCTTAAAATTCCGCCCCGTTATCGGTCATGATCTCTTTTGTGTCCTGGTGCATCCCGAGAAAACGGTTAACATACCGCGCGATTTCCGCCGCTTGCCGCGTGCGACACGGGTACGCCTCGATCCATTTCGAAAAATGGTCAACAAATACCAACAGGACTGAATATTCACAACTATTAGGACCAGGAGGTACCACGATATCGGTAGTATCCATGCTTACCCTTTGGAAAGGTCGTTCAACTATCGTTGGTACTATTGATCTTGGCGGCTGGATTGGCGCCTTGTCAGCAGCACAGACTTGGCAGTCGCGACGATGAATTTCACATCGTCACGAATATTGGACCAATACCACTCATTTTTATCGATTGCCGATTCCGTAATCCGTACGGCAAAATGGGCAGCCGTTTCTTCATGTGCTATCTTTACCGAGTCATACCTCATGAACGGGTGTGAAACTACCATCCAAATCCCACTACCATCTGTTTTCCGTTTCTCCAATCGTCCCTTATTCCAGCGGTAATCCCGCGCCCTTTCATTGGCCCTCCTCCGATCTTCCTTGGTGAAGTCCTGGAGGGGGTTACCTACTAGAGTAGCAATCAAAGCGATGTCCGTCCATACCTCGGCCCTTCTAAATTTCCGGGTCCTTTCCAACCCTTCTGACGTGGCGTCCAAAAAAGCGAGCCTCGGTCGGGATCTTGTCAACCCAACACAATGGGCACAGCCACGGCTTACTGTCATTTCTGTATTGGATGCACGAGCCATGGGCTCGTGCAACACACTGTCGACAATCTACCCAATCAATATAGCCTTCCGCGTTAGGACGCATGGAGACCGAATATATGCGAGAGATCGCTTCGCAAAAATAACAAAATTTATCAGGCAGGGAAAGAAGAGATGAGGAGGAGAGGGGAGAAAGAGGGGTTACGGGATTACCTCCGTCACCCATTGCCACCGGTCTGCTTCTTGCCACGTGGGAGAACTGCCACTTGTCCGTATTTAGGCCTGTTCGCCGGTTCTGACTCCTTCCACAAAGTGATTTCCTCGCCCTTAGGTACTTTAGCGGGTCGATGCAAACGTATCAGTCCGTCCTCGTTGCCGTGTCTCTCAGTCTTTCAATGGATGATGTCGAAGTCGTATTCCTGTAGGCGCACCGCCCAACGTCCAATCATGCCCGTGTAATTAGTGAGCTTCTTCAAAGCCAGCAGGGGCTCATGATCCGTCACGAGGCGGAACTTCTGTCCGTAAAGGTACGGATGGAAGTGCTGGATTCCCCAGACTACTGCATAGCATTCGCCTTGAGGTGCTGAATCATTCCTCTGTTCGCCCGACACTGTTCGTGATGCGTACTCGATGATGTGTTTGCGACCATCGTTCCCCTTTTGCGCTAGAATGGCGAAGATAGCTTCTGGTTGCCAGTCCGTTATAATAATAAATTGCTTGGTAGGGTCCGGCCGGATCAAAATTGGTGCGGTGGTCAAGGCCTCCTTGAGTGCGTCAAAGGCTTGCTCGCACTCAAAGTCCCACTGCAGAGGCTGGTCCTTCCGAAGCAGGTTCGTGAGAGGTCGAGCAATCGCCGCAAAACCTTTGATAAAACGGCGGTAGTACGATGCCAGGCCTAAGAAGGCTCGAACCTGCGTCAGCGGCGTGGGAACTGGGGCTTATTTTACGGCCGCAACTTTCCTTGAGTCCGGTCGCAGCCCTCCACGTGTCACTACGTACCCCAAGAACAAAATTTCCGAGAGGAAAAATTCGCTCTTCTCGAGTGCAATCTTGAATCCAGCGTCTCTCAGAGCGCCTAATGTCCACTCAATGTGTTGCGCATGGCCGTGATAGGTCTCCGAATAAACCAGGATGCCGTCCATGTACACGATGACGCGGGGTTAATCATCCCCTGCGTTAATCGTGTCTTGTTGACGAAGTTCTGGAACGTCACGTTCATGGCCCGCTAAAACGTGGCAGGCGCGTTGCAAATTCTCATTGGACATCGAACCCACTGCCACGTGCCTTCGAACAACACGAAGGCCGTCTTCGGCCGATCTTCCTCCTTAACCAGAATGTGATGGAAGTTATGCCGAATATCAAACTTACTGAAATAATTAGCACATCCAATCGCATCCAGCAAATCATTAATTCGGGGGAGGGGATACACATCTTTAATCGTGATGTCATTCAATTTGCGATAATCGATGCATATGCGGATCGATCCATTTTTCTTCGGTACTAATACTACTGGGAATGACCATGGTCCAGTGGCAGGTTCGATCCAACCGCTCGCTTCCAATTCCCGAATCCGTTCGAGAGACTTTTTTCGTTCTACCAGGGAGTACCGGTAGGGCTTCCAGTGAATTGGGGAATGATTCCTCGTTTGAATTTCGTGTTGTATGACCAACGACAAGCTGATGTCAGTGTCCGTTACACTAATCGCTCCCTGATATTCCGTCAGAATGTCCGCAATCAAACGATGAATCTCATCAGGTTCGTACTGCGGAACGTGCAATTCATAAGACTGATCTCAGATTCGTACGTCGATCTGCTTCGTGTGCGCTTGTTTCGCCGCCTCGGGTGGTGGTGCAAAGATAAACGAATGGTCTGATCGCCAGGAGAACACTGTGGCCATCATCTGGGCGTCTTCCTCCCTGATGGCCACGTGTCCTTCCGGGGTGATCCGATCGCAGATGTCTTGCCATGGTATGGGTTTAGTCGCGATCTTAATTCCGAGCTCGTCTGATTCTGCCTCGAGACGCTCAGGGGGTTCCAAAGAACAAGCCTCCGCCCCAGGCGTAGCAATCGTACTTCTTTTGTGGGTGACAGCAGGGATCGTGGCAGGCCCGTGATTTTGCAAAAAGATCTCTTATCATTGTATCGTGTGAGAAGAGGGGCCGTTCCTTCGTACAGGGTCCGAGGGGGTTCCAAAGAATCGACCATCCTCGATATCTGTACGAGGGGTTCACCCAAAATCATTGCCTTGTTCCTTTCTTCATTCCGACTAGTTAGATGCATCGTTCTTGCGATCGTTCTGGACGGTGGGTAATAAATGCGCCGTCGTGCTAGTTTCAAAATTTCCGGATCATTTTCGTCACTGCTATCTGCATCCTTCGATGATGGCTCATTGCTTGCGGAGTTTTCCCATATGATCATACGAAGAGTTCCCACTATCATCGGAGAAACTCGCGGGACTGCATTGATGATAGTACGAAGAGTCAGCCTCATAGGTACAGCATAGGGTTTTCCTCCCGTATTTCGGAGGATAATCGACGGTCGCTCAAAGTCCAGATTTGCTCGTAACGCCACAAGAGCGGGAAGGTCGAAAAGGACATCGTAGGTGTTTACGTCTAATACCACGACATCTCCCAACGCATGCACTTTTCCTAATCGAAAAGCGATGTTGGTCATTCGTCCCACTATTTTGATCTTTTCTTCGTCTGCCGAAACGAGTTGCTCCTTTTCCGTAAGCATGATTAGATCGTTTCACCTACCCGCCCTCTCAACTACCCCTAGCGAAATAGCCAACACAATAGCTCCTGAATCGATGATTGCATTGTACGGAATTCCCCATATCTCAATGTCGCATTCCGCAGATTTCCAAGGGATGGGTTTAATTTTTAGGAAATGATCGTCTTTCTTGATCAATCCCACCCGTATCGGATCCGAAGTGCCAGCCGTATTTTCGTCTGGCGTGGGGCTTTTAGCTTTCGCGTTCGTTGGTCGGGCGAGGGCGAATCGCTTTCGATTCGCCTTGCAGTGTTGTAGCATTCGCTCATTGGCCTGCTCAGAGATCGAGAGCAAATGACCGACCGGAAGTGGAATCCGATGGTCCAAGGCTCGGATGATGTTCAACACATCAATTTCCCCAGTGACGAAGGTGGGTCCTCCCGACTCCATCTCTCTTGGAGAAGGTCGCCATTCCGCCACTTCTTTCTGTTCTGGCGCGGGTCTGATCGTTCCAATCATTCCAAGCCCTGGGTAACCGAGCGATACATACTGGTCTAACAGGATGAGCTTAGCAGCTTCTTCCGAAGTAGCCAACGCACTACCTCCGCGCTCCATTTCTTCCATCAGGGCTCCTACCTGTCCCGGCCCGTTAGCGATGGGGGCCGCTGCCATTGGGGCGACCCCGACCCGTTGTTGTGGGGGGCGGTGGGGGCAATCACGAGCTAGATGCCCCGGTTGATGGCACGCATCGCAGATGTTCAAATTGCTTGCGGCCCTCCAAGAGCAGGTGTCGGGGCTAGCCCTTGTTGGATTGGGGCGGCACATACTGCGATGGGCCGCATATTTCTCATCATAGCCTCTAACCGAGCGTTATGCTCTCGCTGTTCCTTTTTGCTTTCCTGGATTAGGCTAATTAGAGTTTTGGTCAGTTCAAAAATAGCAGTGGACTCATTTGACCTCACAGGGTTCTCAATCGGTGGTGGGGGTGTCGTCATTACAGGTGTTGGCATCACAGGAACAGGGACACTCGTGATCACACTCGGGGCCGACCGTTTAGGGGCTATCTGTTCCAGATAGGTGGCTGGGCCAGACACAAATCCCATGTTCTCGAACTTGTTTTGCAATGCAGCCAGCTCAGCTTTTGCTCTCGCAAGTTCGGACGAGTCTCCTTCCTTAGGATAGTTTTCCCCTTCTAGGAAACTCGCTGCGAACTTTCGTTCCATCTCCTCTGCAGCGGCCATAATCTGTTGCAGCGTATGATTGATGGGGGAGAACTGTTTTCGCAGCTTCGCCCTTATCGTTCGGCTGCACAGTCCATCGATAAACAAATCTCTTCCGACTTGCTCGCCCCGTTCAGTTTTCACAAACATTCGGTAAAATCGGTTTCGATATTCCGCGATAGATTCGAGGGGGGGTTGCACCCGGTCTTTAATCATGAAAAGCGCTTGCTCTGGATGGACATAGTCGAATCGATTCAGAAAGTCTCACTCGAAAGTCGGAAGATCCACCCATACATAGGTACTAAACCAATGAAGAGTGTCTCCTCCTAATCGGGCGGGAATATTTACCTGAGCTTCGTTATCGTCATACTGTTGTGCCCGGAGCGTGGCCAACCATGCTCCTGCGAGATGATGTACAGGGTCAAACAGATAGAGATCCGGTGGCGTCATGGGAGCCCATGCTCGTGGGGCGGGTTGATTAGGATTCTGTTGTTGATTCTGCTGCGGATTCGGATTCTGTGGATTGGCGTTCATGTTGGTTGCCCGTCGATTAGTCGATCTACTTCGGGTGATGACGGGGTTCCGTCTGTGCGCGTTCCGGGGTCGAGGTCGCCCTCGGTTAGCCAGATCGCTCAATTATCGTGTTGTTAGTCCTATAACACGGCCACGTGTCGGGCTCCGATACCAACCTCACGCCCAGCGCGACTTCGTGATCGGAGTGGGTTGTGGGCCTGGAAGTGCGAAAAGGGGTGTGCCAACGATTTTTGGGAAAGTGAGGTCAGAACCGAGATCTCCTGTGGCAGAGTTTTTCAGACGCACGGGTGCAATTTGGCAGAGAGGGCGGACCGCTTCCGGTCATAAGGCAGATGGCATGCGCAGGTCATTCAAGGCCGCTCGATCCGTCCGTTTTNGCACGGGTGCAATTTGGCAGAGAGGGCGGACCGCTTCCGGTCATAAGGCAGATGGCATGCGCAGGTCATTCAAGGCCGCTCGATCCGTCCGTTTTGATGACGGCGATTCATCGAAAGGTYCATTCGGGGTRGGTGTGATCCTGRTGAGTCRGGTCGTCGGTTGTCGCCACGTGGCGYCGGTCGTCGTGCGTTCRGGTTGGGCCCTCGCGGTCCCGAGGCTCTCTGGTTGTCRCRTCGTCGRCAATTTCCRCAGGGCGTGCGGGGCCAGTAGGGGGCTATGGCGTTCCACGGGACGACCCTGAGTTGATGATACGGGAGAAGAAGAYGGAAGGGAGGGAMGTTAGTGGAGATAACGACAAAACCGGGGGAAATAAAGTAGTRGGTGTSRTCTGAAGTGGGGAAATCAGAGCAKCGGGGATCGCTGGTTGTGGCACAGYGAAACTCCCTAGGACACAGTCGATTCTCTGTTAGGCARGGGAACCTCTGTCGGAGGCACTCTTCTATCCAAGGGGTGAAGTACTCCGGGTCCCACGACGAATCTGAGCTCCCGGAGCGTGYCATTATGTCATCGTAGGGCCRCAAAATTCATAAGGGCGTGTCTTTGTYGGTTGCGATCACCGCATGKGAGTACGTGTAGGCCGCGCGAGTTGAATCGCACTTACACGTGTTCACACAGGATGATTGYTTCGTCGCCGACGCAGGATGGCCACATCCAATCAAGCAATATCCCTGMAATCGTTAGCCTTTTCATGCTTAGGTGGTTGTGAATCGACGCGCGTGGACACGTGTAAGTGCGYAGATCAGATCGCACTTYCAYGCGTCCCTGCGAGGCGTTCGCTGGTTTCTGGGCAAACARCTACCCGATCATCTAATCAYTCCGTAATTTCKAAGCATGCAAGATGCAACAATCACAACAGCTCAATCAAGGGATAAGCAAGAACGGAAACAGTATTGATGACTACRCAAAATTCCTACCCTACTCATGAGTGCATCAAGATGATAAGCAAAGGCAAAGATCAGGCGTAGGGATAGCAAACGGACACGACATCCATTCATGCAGCATAACACACAACATGAGAGATTGAAATCGCAAAAACGAGTGTGGGCGAAAGAAAACCAAGCCAAGATTCTGAAAACAAAAACGGGCAAACCGCCCTGATCCGAAATCAAAATTTATATACACCAGCAGAGAGGGAGAAAAGACAAAAGAAACAGCAAATCCGCGTCCATCAACCTTAGCTCCCTCTTTCTCTCTCTCTCTCTCCGATACGGACAGTCCGTCGTCGCGCACCAACCCACGAAGTCGTCACCCCGCTTAGTCCTCCCGCACCCGTCACGTTCGCTCGCGCCCACAATCCGTCGTGGCCAGCGTCAACCCCGCGCGTTTGGCACCAGCTCGTCGGGTCGCCCGACTCCCACTTCAACTCACCTCTTACTTCGCTCGTGAGCCGACCCTTACTGATCGCGCTACCCCGAGCTTCCAACAACTGGTTAAGAGAGCTAACTAATCGTGTAGCCGAAATTTATAGCGTGCATGCATGCGCGAAGAACACGGAATTATAAGGACTTGGAAAGGAAGATCAGGAGAGGGAACGCCTACGTTTTGCATGGCCAGATCGCGGCGTGGGGGGCGTAGCCGCTCTCCACACATCGATCCGATCGTGCAGACCGCGGCTACCAAGACGCAGCAAAAAAGAAAGAGAAGAAGGGCGGGAAAGACGAAGCACAAGAAGAAAGAAACAGTTACAATGGCACCTGCCCAAAATTACAGTTACACATACGATTAAAGGCGCCGACTAATCAGAGTTTCGTTGCAGCCGCATGAAGAAGCGCGTAAGCAAAAAGCGTCGCGCGGCAAAAGAGAATCCTAATTGTAAAAATTCCAAAATTCCTATCTAATACAGAAAAGGTGAAAAGCACAAGTTTGAAAGAAAAGTCCGAAATTCCGAGAGTCATCGGGGCTCGACAAGATTCGAAAAAGAATTCAAAAAGAAAATTCAAAAAGAACGAAGCAAAATTCCCGCGCGATGTCTGCGCCCAAAAATCCAAAATCGAAACAAAAGAAGTGACGTTAATAGTTATTAATCGCGCGCACGGCGGCGTGCCGCAGACACAGCCAATCAATCAATCGATCGTTACGGGACTCACCCGGCCCTGAACCCAACCATCCGAAAAGAAGCGACACAAAAAAACGAAGAAGCGAGGACACTGATGCAATTTCCTTCCAATCCCAATCTCCCGTAGTTGGCCCATCCTTCCCAGCTTAGGACCCCTCATTGCTATCGCGCAGAAAATCGCGCGGTGCAAAAATCGGTTCGTCACAGCGCACCAATTAGGAGCAAACAATACACCAAAGTCTCTTGATAAAGAAAATTCATCTTCTACCTCCAGTCATCAAAATAACAACAATAACGTAGTAGCCCTACTTGCGGTGTGACCGCCCTATCTACTTCCTGCTACCTTGGCCATGTCGGTCTATCTACAGGCCAACTATGTGTCCACATGTCACTCACCAAATGCTGGTTGGAGATTCTGCTCGTACGGGCTTCCCTTGCCAACACCAGGTAAGAACTGCCAGTCTCCACTGCCTTCCTTCTTCCCCTACCTCCACACTCTGCCACTGAGAATTCCTGCACCCAGCTATGGCTGGCGCTCACTACAGCCACCTAAGTTGCTCCTCTTTCTACGCGGACGCTGCATGTCTCCACTACCGCAACAACACTCATGCTTGCAGCCTCACTGACGGAATACCTCATGTTGGGAGGCTTCCAGGCTTCTGTGGTGGGGAGGAGGCCACGTCTAGGCTCCGCCCTATCCTTGCATACAGTGCCTCAGGCTACTTGGGTCAGTGTGCATGCAGGTCCCAGCCTCTGCACCTAACTCATGGGCTGGGAGTGTCGGTTAGTTGCAGAGATTGGTTCCTGTCAACCTACCGGGGCCCTTTGTTGGCTCCCTTCACTTAGGAACGACATGAAAATTGCAGGTCCGCCTTCACTTAGGGCAGCCTGGGCTGTTGCCAAGGGGTTGAAACAGCCCGTGGAGGCCTGGAGCCTCACATTCTCTCTTCCTCAGGTTCGAAAGCCCTGTGAGAACTTCTTAATCTTGTCGTCGCTTTCCCGGCAGAGACCTTTCACAATGTGACACAGCCTTGGAAGCGGTCTTCAGCAGTTCCTCCCCTGTGAACCGTTGATCCTCCTTACTAGGATCCAGATGACATCTGAATGCGACTTCGTATCAAATCTGTGGCCTGGGCAGTCTTCCTTTGCCTGGAGGCTTTGGCACCAGTGTCTCTTTGAGTTGCACACGTGGTCAATGTCGACGTATCCATCCACGGAAGGGGGCAGCATTGATCGTTGAGAGGGAAACTGATCAGTTTGGGCAAAAGGTAAGAGGTTGGAAGCATGAACTCCTCCGCCATGGGGGACCACATCTCTTCCCATAATTCCTTAGGGAGGCCATCCACCCCCGGGGTCTTATCTTCCTCCATCTGCAGAAGGGCATTCCAGATTTCATCCTTACGAAGCGGTTTATCCAGTATCTTCGGCTGCTCGTCAGATAATCGTTGGGAGATGGGGTGTAGAAAATCCGCAATTTTATCTTCCCTTATCTGTTATGACTCCCCGACTAGGGTAGAGGAAAAGTGTTATTTATAAAAGTCTCTGGCCACTTTCAGGCCATGGGGCGAGGAGTACAAGGAGACTTCACGAGTTTTAATCGGGTTATATAGACCATCTATGGTGGATCTTTTGGCCCTTGTTTGTACCAGCGCGAAAGAGGATGCGTCTATTTGTCCCTCTGTAGTGTGCCTGGATAGCTTGCCTCTGATGATGAAGCCCTGCCATCTCTGCTGGGCAAATTCTAAGAGCTGATTTTTAAGCACTTGTATTTCAGCGGATTTTGATTAGGGGTGGGGGCACAGCGACTCACTACTTTCCTATTGAAGGTTACGAATTTCCTCCTGGATGCGAATTTCATGTGCATATTTTTTTTTGCCCGTATTTTTAAAAATTCATTGCATTTCCTGCCCATAAAGGCCAGCTCGTTTAGAGGTAGGCTAGTAGATTTGGAGGTAGGAAGGAAAACAGATGCGCGAAGTGCCGACGATGATGAATATGGTAAATTGAAAATTTGTCTGGCTCCCCCGATTCTTGATGGAATCGGGCGAATCAAGATCCGTCCTGGGGGTTTTAAGGGCGGGCGAACCCGAATCTACAGTTAGAATGAAGTGATAGTTAGTAAAAAAGGAGTTGAGATAGAAGGATGGTGCGTGGAGCTATGGAGGAACGAAACGGGGAGTGGCATGGTTAACTTAGTTCTCG